TGGTAGTTTAGCCAAAAAGTTAAAAAGTTACTAAATTAGCCAAAAAGCCAACAACCCATATCAAAAAGTCAAAGATTCTCTTTTCTCTCTACTTTTTGCACATCTTTTCGTAAAAAGCCAAAAAGTCATCCCAAACATACTAGTTTTTTTAGCTCATATTTTAGTCAAATAGCCAAAAAGTTACTAAATTAGCCTGTTCCCATCTCATAACTTTTTACATATACCCAAAAGTCCTATAACGTTATTCTTCTTCTTCTCTGTCTCTCTTCTTCTTTGTCTTTTTTGCTCTTTGTGTTTTCCAGCGATTGTTGACGGGTAACCATATCTTGCTTCTTTTCTTTCTCTTTCCGATATATAGTCACCGACGACCGACGATTACCATCGATTGGGATTCACCGGCAACCACCGACCGCCGACTACTTACTTCACTTTCACCGACAATAAAGAAGATATGTTTCCGACGAAGAAGATGAGTAGATTTACATCAGATTTGATGTAGATCTATATTAGATCCGGCTAGATCTAAACAAAAAATAGTTGCCGGAGTACAATCCTCTCTCTATATTCGCCTCTTTCCTTCGATCTCTTATTTTTTTTTTACATTTTTTCTGTTATACACTTCTTTTTTTCTATTTTAATGGAGAAAATTTTTAAGTTTTGAACAAGTTGTTTTCGAGTTTTAGTTACAGGCAATGAAAACTGTAAAATTTTGCAGTTTCAAATTTTTTTGGTGCTATGTAGATTTACATCAGATTTGAGTAGATTTACATCAGATCCGGTTAGATCTAAACAAAAAATAGTTGCCGGAGTACAATCCTTTCTCTATATTCACCTCTCTCCTTCGATTTTTTTTTTTTTTTTTTTACATTTTCTTTGTAATACGCTTCTATTTTTCTGTTCTAATTGAGAAATTTTTTAAGTTCTAAACAAGTTATTTTCGAGTTTTAGTTATAGGGGTGAAAAACTGTAAAATTTTATAATTTCAATTTTTTTTGGTGCTGGAATGAATCATGGTATAAAACTATAAAATTTTACAGTTTTAAATTTTTTTAGTGCTGGAATGAATCATGGTATAAAACTGTAAAATTTTACAGTTTCATAACAGTCTTCAAAACTGTAAAATTTTATAGTTTCATAACATGCTTTTCAGTTTGATTAATAAGAATAATACTTAATAGATTTTTGCTTTGAAACTGTAATATTTTACAGTTTCAAAACTTATTTTTCAGTTTGATAAATATTGGAGATTATTTGTTTAAACCTTATAAAAATTGAAAAATAGAATATGTTTTTCCTATTGTTGCTGTTTTTTGTCGTTCTATTTTTTTTCCTTCTAGTTTATCAATATTTAGCATATTTTGCTATATTTTTTCACTATAATTTCTCCATTTATTATTTTTTTCCCCCGGTGATATTCTGGATATTCTGGTGAATCTCCAATGATGTTTTTAACGTTCTGTGAACGTTTTGAATATTCTGGCGATTTCCATTAATGTTCTTAACACTCCGGTGAACTTCCGGCGATATTCCGGTGACTTTCCGATGATGTTGAATATTCCGATGAGTCTTCGGTGACCGATTGATGGAAATTTGACGGTAATAAAATGTAACAGCATCTGTAAATTGAAAAAAAAAAAAAAAAGAAGATTTTTTTTGACAACAATTAAAAATATTATAAGACTAATTTGTGCAAGGGTTTTATTTAGAAATTAGATAGATGTTGAACTTTGGATACGAGACTTTATTGATAAGTTTCCTCAAAAAAAAATAGTTTAATAAAACATTTGACAACGTAGTGGAAGGAGCAGAGTAGGGCGGCCATGATCACATCATCACTATGCAGCAAGCTGAAGCGGGAGAGTGAGGGGGGCGGGACTTTTCAAAACTCATATTCGTTTTGGCGGGACTCTTCAATTCCATCCCCCTCCCTCGTAACTGGTGTCTGTCTGTCCGTCTGTGAGTGAGACATACAAACATATATATATACTACATACAGCATACTCGAGAAATTCTCTTATGTTGTTTGTTTGATAGGAACGTGAGGTGAGAAAGTGCCAAGAAAATAAAAGAGTTACTAGTGAAGTGAAGTGTGTGATTATGGAAAATAGCAAGGATTCTGTGGAGGAGCAGCAGAATGGCCAATACAGTCTTAGAAGCGGGCGACCAAAGAAGAATGAGACAGAGAAGAAAGCGACTCAGATTCAGACAAACAACACAAAATCATCGGCTAAGAGAAACAAGACAAAAAAGAATGGAGATTTGGATTGTTTAGGTTCAGGTAAGGATCAAAAGGAGGAGGAAGCTAATTCTCGGAGGAACAGAGCAAAACGAGTGAAAGAAGAGACTCCATTGATTCGTTCAAGAAAGCGAGATGAAAATGTGAGTGAGACTGAGGCAACTTCTTCTCTCAATTGGATTGGATTCATTAGCTGTGTCTTGTTTTATGTTGGTTGTTCTGATTTTATTTTTGTTGAATCTGAATAGGGGAACATAATCGAGTCAGTGATGTGTCATCAATGTCAGAGGAATGACAAAGGCCGTGTTGTTCGGTGCCAGAGGTGTAAGACCAAACGATTTTGCATTCCTTGTTTACACAGATGGTATTATTTTCTTCTACCCCTTTGTTTTTGTGTTTTTTGAATTCGCTCTAGCACCCTGATCATTATTTTAGTTTCATAAGAAATTGTTCTTTTTTTTGCCTACTGTGCATGAAATTAATTTGTATTAGGGGTTGTAGTGAACTTCATTATTTTTAGATTATAAAGATTGTTGTTTCTGTTTCAATGTTGTTCTGTTTGTTAGAATTTTCTACCCTTGTGTCTCTCTCTCTCTCTCTCTCTTGAAGTCATCAAAAATTTAAGGAATTGCTTAATATCATAAAACTTTCCCAAGAAATACATTTAGTCACAATTCCCCTGTAACCATGCCAACATTGAATCAAATTAAAAGCTTCTTTTGATTTAAAGAACAGATTCTCAGTTGAATTTTGTCTATTCTAAAGTTTGAAGACATTGACAAGACAAAAATTGTTAATATTATATTTTTTCTTCCTTTAAAATTCCTTCGCATGAAAACACTTGGTAGACATTAATCAACTTAAACAGTCATTTGAGATGTGATTATTGATTTATTTATTTTATTTTATTTTATTAAGTAATTGTGCGTGTTTGGTTTTGTGTTTTGAATTCATTTTTCTAAAATGAGTTTTATTTTTTTACTTTCTTGTATTTTTTTTTTATTTTAGTGAATATTCTTTTTAAATTTTTTAAACAATTTTTTTTAGATTGCATTTAGTTAAATTACCTAAAAAAAATATTTGTAAAAAAAATTAATAAATACAACACAAAATCAAAAAAATGTATTGTATTTTTTTGTTATTTTAGTGAATTTTTAAAAAAAATTTCACAAATATTAATTTTTAAGTGTTATTTATATTAAGTATATTTAAAAATTAAAAAAAATTTGTTTAAAATATTAAAAAAATTACAGTAAAAATAAAAACAAAAATTCACAGTTTAAAATATTAAAAAAATTTCAGTTAAAAATAAAAAAAATTACAAAAAAACAAAAAATAGTAAAATATTTTGAACAAGTGAATCTTAAAATTACAAACCAAATAGAGTGAATACCATTTGGCGTTAATTTTGTTGATCATTAACCTCGTTATGTTTTTTTGAAACAAGTTATCTTTAATAATTTTTATTTTTTATAAAAAAATATAACAGAAATAAGAATGATTGTGACATTTATGATTATATTTAAATTTTTTTAGCTAAAATATGCAGTTCCAAGCTGGAATTCAAACTGATGTTAAAGCACAAGTGCAATCGATTTGCCACATTGAACCCCCCCCCCCCTAAACCATAACATTCTACGTAAAATGGTGAAGCTGAAAAGCATGTAGCGTCGCAGAGAGAGCATGGGTTTCAATCAATTTATTACTGGTGCTGTGACTTTTAGCTTCACGGTTATAGTTGTATGCATTTCCCCAGAATGCTGATTCTAAACTTTGACTTGTATTGAAGAGAGATGTGTTAGGTACTTTTTGGCAATCCCGTTTTGGACAAAACTCCTGTTGAGTGTAATTTTTTATTCGCATTTTTTATTCTCAGTAAGTACTTCTGGAGTGTGTTAGATGCGAATCCAACTCAAATCAACCTTTCAAGACTTTCGATTAATGCTTTCAAGATTGCCACTTCGCTGATTATGACGGTGGATCGAGCTGCCCGGTTCAGCTCGCGGTGGGTCCAGGGGCAGCGCCCCTGGCGGGTTCCGGCGTGCAGCCCCACGGCGGTTGGGGGCAGCGCCCCGAATGCAAAATGCAAGAAATGCATTCAAAGTTGCCGAGTCGCTCATGTTTTATTTTTCCAGATTTTCCATTTTGGCCGTGTCCGTCTCGAGCGGACACTTCGGCGCTCGAGCGTGGATTGGAAAGCTCGTCAGCCTCTCTGCAGTCGCCTTGCAAAAGTTATCTGATATGTGAGTGTTTACCGCTCGAGCGGCAAAACCGACGCTTCCAGCGTGGGCTGCCTTATGAAATCATCAGAATTGGAAGTCTCCGCTCGAGGGGTGAAAAGGGCGCTCGATGCGGACGCGCGAATGATCCAGATTTCCAGATTTGATAAAGAGTTCGTTTCGGCCATCTAGGATTACTTTTTTGTTCCCTATAAACTTGGTTTTCTCCAAAACTAGGTGATTGATTTGAACTTCTCCCCAGATCTTTTTTTGGTTTCTAGGGTTTATATCTGGGGAATACTTTGTGAGTTTCTTTGAGTTTTATGAGTGATTTCAACTCATGATCTAAAGATAACTCAAAAGGTTGTTGTTATACCAAAAGAGAGAGTTATTCTTCAGTTGTGA